CTTTGATCGATGTTCAATCTTACTCCGACCCAATGTTCGATTCCTCCTACTTTAATCAATTTGTTTTTCCTTGATCGGGGTTAGTCCTGTGTCACTCAAAATACTGATTAGATCATAATTTTATTAATTAATTTAATCATCAAAATCTAAAATTTAACGATATAGAACTTTCAAAGGGGCAGGACTCCCAAATTCTCAATGCTCAAAATGCCATGCCACCAAATGCCCAGAATTCTCTGCCTCGCAGATATGTTCCTCCAATCCGTCATTTCAATGCAATGCCTCCAAATGCAGGTGGTATGCCAAACCATCGGAATCAAATGCCTAATTCGCATAGCAGCTATTAGCCAAATGCTAGACCTAGGTATCAGGAAGGCGGTGGACGAGGCTATCAGGGAGAACCAAGTTATCAAGGAGCTGGTCAAGGATACCAATGTGGTAATCCTGGGAGCAATATGCCAGGTATTGATTAACAAGGAGGTAGCCATGGTTATCAGGGAGGTAATCCACCATATCAAGATGGCTATTCTAGCCATCAGCAAGACAACTCCAGTTATCAAGAGGGCAGCCCCAACTATCAACAAGAAGGATCTCCTCCTTATCAAGTAAGAGACATGCTTGGAAGAGATCAATAGAAGATATTTTGACATGTTGTGAAAAATCGAATATGTAGTAAGTGCTTATAAGTTTCTTTTGTTCTAATGAAATATTGATTGACTCTAGGGGACTCCCAGTATTATCTTCAACTATAATGTCAACTCAGCAAATCCATTGTGGAATTCAGTGAAAATATTTTTTTAGAACAGTTGATACAATATTTTTGAAACATCTTTTTTTGATGTGTCTTGTTATCGGCACTAAATGATTATTGTATGTTTAAAATTTTTGAAACATCTATCAAGAGAGTGCATCATCAAGTTTAATGTACGTATTTATTATTTAACTATTATATATGTTATCAAGATGTGTTATAATTGACTAATGTATGATTTTGTTTGTAGCATATAAGACATTATTTTTATAATATATAAGTTTCATAATAAATTGATATGTTATCATTTTATATTAAATTAATATTATTTTATATATTTCATAAATATTGAAGATTTATTTTATAAGTTTTTAAAAATTCCTACGTGTGATTACTGATATATTTTTATCATAATTTATTTTAAAGATAACATGCTATTTTATAATAGAACTAAGGATCGGGTGGGTGGAGGAGTTTTTTAATCAATTGTGGGTTTACTAAGAAGATATAATTTTTTATTAAAAAATAGTTAGCATTATAAAGACATATATTTTAATTTAAAATATTTTTAAAAATTATAAATAATGAAATGCTAATTTTTTTTATATAAAACTGAGATTTAGTGGGATAATAGCATGGTCCCAAGTCGATCGGGGATGGGAAAACCGTGTCGATGTCGAATCCATTGTCCGAAGCACTAAGACGTCGGCATCGGAGGTGATGTGGTCTTCCTAAGTCGACAACCACATATGAGCTTATGCAGACCGCGAGGCGGTGTCAATGGTGTGGCCCGGAGTCATTGTACGGACGAGGATGATCAATGATCTCAGCCATCCAATGGGTTTGTTGATTGATGATGGACCCATGGCCATTTTGTTCGTTGTTAATATTAATTTCTATCATTCTGAGGAAGGATTCTGACATCTAATAATCATCTGCGTGCATTTGAACCCAGTGAAATCTGCTGATGTTTTTACATTGTAATTTTGTGGTAACTTTCTAAGAATTTTGATATCATTGTACACTTTTCGTAAAAGCATAAAACATGGGATGAAAGATTTTTTACCTTTTTTTCGAGAGTATGATTTCAGATAAACAATATGTTCTAACAGTGCTTCATCCACAAATCACAGTGCAATATATTGATACAGTTGTTGATATTTAGCAACAATAGAGGTCAAACTCCAGAACAATGTGTAATCTGTCGAGTGAAATAGAAAAGGAGAAGTTAATGGACGAAATGTAATCCACATTTTGCTGCATTTTGGCAGAAGAAACTTGCCTTGCCGTTGACTGGCAGAAAAAGGAAGATTCAATCCTTTTAATATCTGTTCATCATGATTGCCCCTTTGGCAAGGAAGTCATCTGTGTTTGTTTTCTGCAACATTCACTCAACATATCAGACCCTTCAGAAATCTATTGTGGAGAAATCATCGAGAAAATTAACATACAACATACCCCGATAAATCTTAGTTCCTGACGATTTTAAGAAGCTCTATATCGAACAGTAGAGTTTTGTCGATCAAGCCCTGGTTCCTCAGGACAAAATCAAGAGCTCTTTGGCCCTGCAGAGTTAGACAATGATCAGCATGCTACTTATTCACAAGTGTTCTAATCGATTACTGTGTAGAGTACCGAAAAAGTCGTTGGTCTGGGACCAAGTTTGTTGAAGTCACTATCTGGATATCCCAAATCCGGAGGCACTATTATCCTGCATTGCTGTGTGAGTAATGTATTAGCACATCCATGGCTGCACTCATAGAAAGAAAAAATAATCCATCTAGAGAAAAAAATACAATTACCTATCATATTCAATAATCAGATAAATGTACTATACAAAGCAAGCATCAAAAGAATTTGATCTGAAATTAATACAATTCCACCAAGAAAAAATGCTATGGTAGAACTTTGATTCAGTAGCTTGGGGGCAATCAGAGAGTTTAACAAACTACTCTGATGGGTTTCTAATAATAATATCAGCATGTAAAATCTTGTTTGCTTCTTGACAATGTATTGCGACAAGGTTAAGGTCGTTATTAACAGATTATGTGATGTAAAGATTTATAGCAATGACACGGAACTACAACTGATTAAATAAAAAACTGTTGAGGTAATGTCCACTGTAAATAGTTTGATAGGAGTCTCATTTTTTTCAAAATTCCAGTTCCTGGTATAGCATAAACAAAATGCAATTTTCATGACTAACAAGTCAGTAAATATCCAATAAAATGCAGACCAACTAATAATTAGTGCAGAGGGCACCATCTAAATAAATGGTGAGTATTGAAAGGGCTGGTACATCACCTCCTGATACCTCCCTCTGCCATGCCGACAATGGCTTCCTCAAAAGCTGGTATAACCTGAACATGTGAAATGATACAGCATAAGAAACTACTAAGATATCTCATTCTAAACAGACGAATGCCTGATGATGTAACAAGGAGATGAGCAATGTAAAATATATCCATTGTGAAATGATGACCCAAATAGATGAATGGACCATATCACTTTAGCTTCTACTATTGTAAAAATTGCTGCAGCTTTTTCTAAAAATCATCATTGGTGATTTCCTCGATACACTGGAAAATGAAAAACTATAGTTCATTGCTTCCATCAATATATTAAACTACAGAAGTACTATTCCCTCATAAGAGATATTATCTGAAACCTGCAAATAAGATTCCAACATATAGGGCACAATGAATTTATTCTACATTGAGTCTATTGTCTACTGTTTGATTGTCTATAAGAATTTCTTTTGCAACTCATATGGTCTTGTGAGAATAATTAGCTTCGGCTTGGTTGATGGTAACAGTGATGAGTCAAACATGGAATAAAAAAAAAAAAAGGAAAAAGGCTATTGCAACATTGAGCTTCACTAGAATCCCTAGAAAATATATGGACATTGGCTTTTCTCTGTCATCTTTTTGTGAGTTTTTTAAGTTTGTAAATGAATTTAGTTGTATAAGGTGATGCTTGTTTAGCTGCTCCAAGCTTCCAACTGAACAAGAGAAGGCTTATTTTTTCTCTGCCACATCTTGGGCATAGAATCTTACCAAGGAATTCAGCTGAAACATTAGGAGAATGATGAAAATAGATACCACAATATAATACACGATCATGTGGAGCAATATTCAGTACAGAAGTTGGTGTCCTGTTTGCATAGATTATTCTGAATTCATCCCTAGATCTGGATGCCCAATACCTCAAACATTCAGTATTTGTTGCTCTAACCCCAACGATGACTTGTATGTGAGCAATGAAGAAATTACCTGTCTTGAACCAACCTTGAACTTGAAAAAATCTTTATCATCTCCCTGCACATTAGAAAGAGACACTTCAAAGAGATGCAATGATAGGGGCAAACTTCAATATATGAAAGAACAGTATCTGGATTCCACAACCAAACAAAAGAGGAACTGAAGCACAAAATATATCTTGCTTTACAAAAACTATAAAAATGTGTCAATAGTAACAGAAGACCATGACTATTTATAGTTGATAAAGAATGACAAGAAGAAGACTAAATTGTATAAGAATCTTCTGTGATCAATTTAAAACCTAATAGCACTGGAGTAGGCACTCATTGTAAGCCAAATCACAGAGCCTGTGACCCAGTAACAGTTGCAAACTTTAACCGAAAACTCACAGCACTAAGACAACGCCCATCATGAGTGGTAGTATGTCCAGTTAGCAATAACATTTTAGTCATCCATTGTTCTCATCACCAATGACTTGTACTTTTTCCTTGTTTAAAAGTATATCACAGACCTTCTAATCCTTGAATACGAACATAAATGGTCACATATAGATGCAAACATGAGAACGACCTGATGGAAACAAAGAATGATTTCATAACTACCTCATCATCTAGCACCCTCCAACCAAAGACTTATCAAGCTAGCCCCATCATCTGCATTTTCCCTGAACTTTTTACAGTTTCAGTGAGCATTTGACCTTTTGCTCTTGAACTATATGCATCTCTATCCCCAGGAAACCATGTCGTCATAAATATATCATAAATGAGTAATGTGACTCAACCCTATACCAAACACCAAGTCTTACAAGTAGTATGCTCTATCAGCCTAGTAACTTTCTCATTGAAAAATATCCATGAAAAAACAGTATGTGATCCATATTTTCTAGAATATTCAGAAATACCTGAAAATACTTTGTAAGTGAAATATTAATGAGGATTAAGAAAAAAGGGGTGAAGCAAACCACCAAACATTATCCCTTGTACGCTTACCACTTACCATAAGCTTGACGAAATCAAGTTAGCAAACCTCTGATTTGCTCTTAGCAAATAAGTTATACATGATGATCAAATTAGCATTCTTGTGCATTATCCACTGTCATGCATCAATCTGAAACCCTTAATATTCTCAATAGAAGATTGATAGTCCTAATGTTCTTAATTCTTTTAATTTATTTTTTAAATGATTATACAGGGCATTTAGGATCCAAACTGCAATGACACACATCTTATATATAAGTGCTATTACAGCAACTCTGATAAAATCTCAAGCTTTAGGTCTTTTAGCATTCAACATCTTTGTGAGTCATTGGATTCTGCTAGCATATATTCTGCCAGTTTTCAACTTATTTGCAACTCCAAGATAAAATTTCCAACTATTAACCTTTCTTGTTTTTCATAGCAGAGGTGCTTTTGGGTGAACACATGCAAACATAATTATATTATTACACCCTGTCTTTTTAAGAAGCATATTCTGTCTCTTCAACCTTGTTAAAAAAATTCAAGATTCATGAAAAGTGCTAGACTGAGACTTGATGCCATTTTCACCTCTCCAACCAACCTTGGAATTAACAATGAAGGGACTTACATCATGTTTGTTGATCCAACTCATTTGGTGTGCATAGAACATCTATAGTTTTAATTACTTGTTCCTTCTAATAAAATTGGGCAATCATCATCATGAAAGGAAAATTGAAACAACAACAAAAATATGCCAGAAAAAGTGTACCTCAAATGAACCACCCTTTGTCTTATTTCGAGCTTCAAAGATGCGACCATAGTATCCTATCGTATAACCATCCCAGTCAACCTTCAATGCATTTACAAATCTGCATGAGTTTGTCCAACTCAACTACATTTCAAAAATCTATCCAAGTTCATCAAGAAACTGAAATTCCAAAGTAGAAATCATCAGATAAACCTAGGCATAATTGATCAGCTTATGACATATTACTCGGCAACTATTGAAGTAAAACTTTGCTGGGGGGTCTTTCCTGCACTATTAAATGTATTTTCTAAATTACATATCATAGTTGCATAAAGTTCTGCCTCACCACCACTGTGTCCCCAGTTTTCGGTGTGGGACCATCACCAACTCGCAAATCCTGTAGTCAGAAAATTATAATCAGCATCTTCTTAAGCCTTTTCTCCAAAGAAATAACAAGCATGCACCTGAACTCATGTACCAAGGATAACCTTGTATTGAAGACCGGATTGTGTCTCATTATAATCTGGATAGCGCATTTTTGTCTTTCCATAATCCTTTCCACGGAGTGCTGGCACTGGATTATCAAGAACCAAAAATAAGCCCAGTGCTTTGGAAACTAAAATCAAATATCTTCGATTTATATTCTTGAGCCAATGCAATATCTGATAGGTTTAGTAATCTTAGAAAACTACAGACTATTAAATACTGAAATACTCTGAGAAGCCAAAACGTCATAGCTTCCGGGCTCACAAATGAGAGAGGTGAACCCTAAGAATAACCCTAAGCAATAGCATTATCCGTAAAGCACAATTCTTTACCAATGGCCACAGTATAACAAATTAACAATGAAACACAACACCTTCACAAAACTTCACCATGGAGATACAACAGATTATAAGCAATATCTAAAATGGCCTCGAAGAATTATTTCTAAAACTACAGAGTACCTGATCAAGGAAAAAAATTTCAAAATTATACACCTCAGAATTTCCATAATTGCACTTGTACCTTGAAGATCAACAACTTGAATTGAGTAGATGGATCTGTTCACACTAGATGTTTTATAAATATATAAACACTCAAGCTTTCATATTATTGCAAATATGCCTTTGAACTTCAAGGGGGGTAGATCCGATATCTCAATTTCTTATATTCAATCCTGATTATGCTTGTTTGAATTTAGTATTTTTCTGGTACATATCTGGATATACGCAACACATTGGGTGTCTAGATACATATATGGAATTCTTTCACAATTACATATTGCTAAATGCAATAATTTATGCCATCAAGTTGAACATTGCTCAATATAGCAAAGTTTGTCATTTTATTTTTTTTTATTTTTCCATGTCAAGAGGAACATTGTGACACTTCAATCAGTCTCATATTGAAAGTAAGCAAGACTAACATTAATTTATAAGAATCAGATGAGTGTATTATTATCGACTTTAACTTAAGAATTTTAAACTAGTTATTTAGGCTCAATAAAATTGATAGCTTAGTTATCCCATTGGTCATTACAATTGACATCAAAGCCAAAAGCTCAAGTTGAAAATGATATGGATGAAGTCAGAGAACACGTCATGGTGCGGAACCATCACTAGGCTATGTCTCAAATACACCATGCTAGGGTTTGATCTGGGTTACATTAGACTTTATAACAACCCAACTAGTCTCACATCCGGAGTAGACAAGACTAAGATTGACTTATTATAATAGTCTAATAGGTGTACTATTGTTAACAAACTTAATAAGTCAATAAGCAATTAACTTTAGATCATTTGAGGAATTTTATGAACTAATCCTCTAGTTTTTAAAGCATATACCAAAAGAAAGTTTTTCTGACAAGGGATTTGATACCAACCTTAAATAGTTGACATCAAGGCTGATCCATTGTGCAAGAGAAAAAGAACTTATTAAATATACTGAAACATAAACTTTGAGAACTTACTATCAGCAAATTCTGCTGCTACTGCCACTCCATTATCTAGAGCATTTTGGAAAGCACCAGTGGTGAACCCAATAGAGGAGACCAAAAGTAGTTTTCTTCTTTCAAAAGTTCCTTTTGTAACTATTGATCTATTTGCTTCTGTCCATGACAAGATATTCAAAGTGAATACGTTGCATATAACATATCTGAAGTAAGCATCGCCTGCAGCTAGTAAGTGTGGTTTTAACTTGAGTTCATGCAGATAAGAAGAAACATTTAACAACATGTCTTATGCTGAAGTGGAAAATGCAACAAAATAATAAAAGAAATTCCACCTTTAAATCAGATATTAGTTGAAGAAGAAAAACACTCTTCAACCCACATAAATCCAAAAACTACAAGAACAACTAAATCATGAACTCAAGACCTTTTCCCTCATAATGTGCGTCACTAGCCTTTTCCAAGGAAGATTAGACTAAAACTGTGTCAGATCGACCGCATCACGTCGTAATGCTGTTTCAAGCTTCTTAAAGCTCACCAAGAGAGCTGGAGACCTCTGCGTCGGGGATCCCATCTGCTTCCCCGATGAATCCTCCCCCAATCCTCGACTTCCCGCACCCCTAACGAATCAGAAGATGATCGATGATACGTTGGAAAGCAAGAATTGGAGGAGAAGCGGTCGAATTAAAAGCTAGAAAGGAAAAACGAATCGACAAGGCAGAGAACCGGACCTTGAAGTGATGCGTAAGGCGATCGGGGGCTCTCGGGATGGGCGAGCTCCAAGGGTTCGGGAGGATCCACGCTGCCGAGATCGACGCCATGTCGAAGCCAAATCTTAAACCGACCACAAGAAGATGAGAGAGGAACTACGGCGCGAGAGAGGATAACGGGTTGCCGAGAGGGCATGAGAAGACAATTCTGCCATCGCCTCGTAATAATTGGAGGAGCAGACTACAGACATGGAAGGGGTTTTTCGGTCATTTCAAAAATGGTAATTTGTGGGTAATAGTTTTGCTTTGTTTTTTAATATTTGTTTGTACGCTATCAGACCATGATAACGGACCATACGATATACTCCACGTAATATAATTCATACGATATAAGTCCATATCATAAAATATGATACAATAATGATAACTTTTCTCACGAGATATCCTTTCCGTCCGGTGATTGAGCTCCTCTGCTCCTGGCCAACGATGCGAAGGATTAGAAGCGTCTGAACCCCAATCTAACTCCCCCAAAGCCTTGTCCTAACCCCCTCAAATTTCTACTGATAGAGTAAAAACGATGAGATCGAGGGAAAGGAGCAACCTTTACGCGAGAAGAGGGGAAGATTCCCTGGAAGAGAAGCTTCCAAAGAGACATTATCCTGGAAGGAGAAGGAACACCAATACAAGGAATTTGGATTGTAGAGAGGGAGAAATCGAGTACCCTTTGGCATGCATCCTTCGTTTTTGGTGTTCTTGTAAGAGATAGTGAGTCTGTTCTGTGCCTTTTGTGTTACCATTGCTCGAGGATTACGAAAAAGGACGAGTTTTGGCTCTGTTGCCCCTCCTCCATGGCAACGACAACAATGCCATGGGTTCTCTGTCCCAATAAGGTGAGCTCAAGTTCTCAAGATCCAGCACGAAAAGGAGGCAGCGGAGAGCGGTGGTGAAGCGGCCACAGGATTGGCCAAGAAGGACGGCAGAGAATTTACCAGTTCAGCTCGAACAAGCATCAGAATACCAAGGGGAGGGTTGGGAGGAATGAGAAGAGACTATTGCAGGAGACGGAGGAACGAGGAGCGAGGCTCGGGTTCGGGGATGTACGTCTCACCTAAGATATAGCTTAATTATATTGAGGGAACGAAATTAAAACATCAAGGGCATTTGGTCTAGTGGTATGATTCTCGCTTAGGGTGCGAGAGGTCCCGAGTTCAATTCTCGGAATGCCCCATTATTATTGTTTTTAATTTTATTTTATTTTATCATATATCTTTAATTCTCTCATTATAAGAGACAAAACTAAATAAAACCTATGCGCACGTTTGCTTAATTTTGTTTGTTCTGAAATTAAAATGCATACTTCCATACTTCTTTTTATCTTTGTCGAGGGAATGGTTCTTCGGCTCATTGTCTCTCATTTTAACATCAATAATTTAAAAAATATATTTTTTCAAACTTTACATCGGTTGGTGTATCAAATCCTCTTACGAAAGGTTAATCATTTAAAATATTTTTATATCTGAAATATTAATATGGTGATAATGTATCATATCTTTGTATCAAATGTTGAGAGTTTAAAACTTCATCTAATATATTTCTTAAGATGTCTATTAGATTAGTTGGTAAAGATTTAATGCAAAGATCAAGACTCAAATCTCACCTCTCACTTATATTAAAAAATATATATGATTACATAAGCCTAGTCTGATTTTAGGCGTCATCATTGTATTGTTGCATTATTACTTTAAAGTTCACTTAGTATTAGATAGAATATATTATTATTGATCTTGTCACATTATATATATATATATATATATATATATATATATATATATATATATATACAT